ATCCCTTGAGGTTTAGATTAGGAACCTAGGGAAATAGTTGTTGTCCATCATCACACAACAGCGTAGGATGGAGTAGAACCTACATCATGAGACACCATAGGCTGTGCTCTTTCTGTTCACCCAACCACCTCCTCAACACAGCAAAGTGTTCATTTTACGAAGTGGCAAGGTCACCTGTGTAATCTTGTGCAAATATTATCAACCTATGAAGCTTCTATTTTTTATTGCAGAAAATGCTGTAGAAGGAAGTATGATACTAACAGCAAAAACTATGTGACTTGCTCACTGGGTGCTCGTGTGTTTTATTTTCCTTACCATTACTGACTGAATTTTTTTGTGCCTGTTGTGTGCCAAAGATTGAACCTGCAGCACTGCAACATAAATTTAAGTCTTGCTTTGAATATTTACGTTGTGCCTTTTAACCTATGAGTAGAATGACTTGAGGAAGGGAAACAGTGGCAGTATCAAGGATTAAATAAGCAAATAACTCTTTACAAACACTGTGAAAGACCCAGTATTGTTTATTACAGTAAAACAACTGATATTCTTGTCACTGAAGAAAAATACAATTAGTACTTAAAAAATGATGTATGGCATTCTGTATGCTCAGTTTAAAAGGAAAGAAAAGACATTTAATTTTGCTAGAGTCTCTTTTATGTCCCTTCTGGGCTTTTACTTTTTTTTTTTCAGTCATGACCTGGATGTTTTTCAGTCATGACCTGGATTGCAAGTTGGCTTGCATGGGATAGAATTGTTCCTGGAACCCCTGAGAGGGGTTGCACAAGTTCTAAACATTCTGGATCTGAAGCCAAGGCCTGGGTGGCTATGTTGCTTTTGCAGCTTAGTTGAAATTAGGAACATTCTACCTTCTCAATAAAAGTCTACAGACACAGATTTTTGTTTGTTTGTTTTTTTATTGAGTTTATTGGTACAGTCTAGGTATACAGTACAGTTACATTCATTACTGGGATCCTGTACCTTCATATGGCAGGTCTTGGTTCTCATTTTTGCCCCTTATCCCTACCCTCCCTTCACCCTCTCCCCACCTCCCCATTTACAAACACTTTATTTCCATTTTTTCATTTTCTCATATTTTTCTTTTTCCTTGTTCCCTTTCCCCTACCCTTCCCACTTTCCCTACACCTTTAGCTCTTTTCTTCTTATTTCACACTATGAATTATGTTTTAAAAGAACTTTATAGCCTATAACTTCAGCAAGACAGGCATTAGCCTCAGGTTGCCTGACTCCAAATAAATGGAATGCAACCAATTCAGATTGGAGAGACTGTACCTTTGTTTCTAAAATTAGGGGCAATCAGTCTCACTGTAATATTAAGATTGACTGTGCTGTGAATTTACATTTTATGTTGATTATTTAAATATCTCTTTCATTATCCCTTCATATGTCTTCATGTGATTTAGATATTTTTAAAATTTAAGTATGAAAATCCTGGTTGTATCTGGAGTGGAAAAACAAACAAATTATAGGTGCTTCATGCATGTTTTGATATGGTAAAATTGAACCTATTCTCCCGGCCTCCTAAGGTTGAACTTAGAAGTTTAGTCCCACCAGTTGTCCTGCAACACACTCCAATCCATGTGCACACAAGGTAGAACACAAAAGCATCTCCAGTGAACACTTCATTGGGCTTCAGGGTTGTATAGTCATATGGCACACCCAGTTTGGTATTCCACTTAAAAGTTTCAAGAAAATTGTTGCAGAAGATGCTGACCTAAAGAAAGTAACTTTTGATGGACCAGTGGTACTTATCATCAGCATGGGGTAATTTCCATGCCATGTGCTGCTTTGGGGCAATTGTGGCCTTACCCAATCCTTGCTTCTGTATCCAGATGTTCAACCTTCATTCAGCATCATTTTCTTTCCATCTTGACTGCTGAAAATTTTGAGATTGATTTTATGGACTCATCCCAGAACATTTTCTCTCTTGTTTCTCATAACCAAAAGTTTTGGAGATTTCTATCTCCAAACTTTCTAAGTTTTGAAGTTCTGAGAAATGAATTTAATTTATAAAGCTCATACCAGTAATATAAACCGAAAGGAAGAAAATGGTATAAAGCCACAGTTTTGAAAAGCAATGGTTTTAAAAAGATGTGTAAACAAGAGTCAGTATCTCCTGGTACTTAGGAAAAAGACATAAAATGAAGAAACTCAGATATACTTTGTGTTCGTAACATGGAGTTTGAGATACACACTGTGCTTTAAGTAACAGATTAGGAGGCAGACAGATGTGTGCTAATTTCTCTGTCACATTTTACCAGTGTGACCTTGTCCCAGTTACTTCTCCCTTAGGAATCTGTTTCTTTACAAAATATGAATAATGCTTCCTGTACTCTGGTTGTCATCAATATCAAACAGAGGAACAAATGTAAAGCCTGGAACATGGTAAAGGTTCAGTGAAGAATTTATGATTTGTTGTTATACATGTTCATAAAAATTGTACAGATGGAATGACTTAATTTTCACTTGAGGCAATCCACTCTAGGACCTACTTTCTCTAAAATTAAAGAGCTAAAACAAAAATAACCTCTTATGATTCCTCTTCCAGTTCATTTATTGCCACTTCAATAGGACTGAAAATTTGACATACAGCTTCAAAAGTGTGTATGGTCTGATTTTTTGTAAAATACTAGAATAGAGCCCCAAATTCACAATATCAGAAGGATAATAGACTAAGTGAACAGTAGGAAAGGACTTTTCATGTCAAAGCTCCCACATTTTTTTTCATTGAGTTTATTGGTACATTTTAGGTATACAGTACAGTTACATTGATTATTGGGATCTTGTACCTTTACATGACAGGTCTTGGTTCTCATTTTTACCCCTTGTCCCTGCACTCCCTTCACTCCCTCCCCTCCTCCCCATTTACAAACACTTTTTTTCCATTTTCTCATATTTTTTTCCTTTCCCTTATTACCTTTCCCTACCCTTCCCAATTTCCCCACACCTTTAGCCCTTTTCTTCCAATTTCACATTGTCAGTTATATCATTAGGATCTTATGTACTGTTATAGTTTTTCACACCAGAGAAACTATTCGGTATTTACACATGTGTGACTTATTTATTTCACTTAGGAGTATATCCTCAATATGTATCCATTTTCCTATGAATGAATCTAATTTCTCATTCTTTATGGCTGAGTAGTATTCCATTTTATGGAAAAAACACATCTTCTTTATCCAGTTTCTAACTGATGGGCAAAAGGGCTGTTTCCAGGTTTTAGCTATTACAAACTGTGCTGCTATAAACATAGATGTGCATATATCACTTTGATATGAGTCTTTTAGTTCTTTTGGAAAGATACCCAGCAGAGGGATGACTGGGTCAAATGGAACCTCTAATCCCAGCTCTTTGAGGTGTGTCTGTATTGATTTCCATAATGGTTGCACCAGTCTGCCCTCCCACCAACAATGGAGAAGGGTTCCTTTCTCCCCACAACCCCACCAACATTTATTATTGTGTGATTTCTTGATAGCAGCCATTCTTTGTGGGGTGAGGTGTAATCTCAGTGTTGTTTTCATCTGCATCTCTTTAATGACCAGTGATGTGGAACATTTTTCATATATTTTCTTGCTGCTTTTACTTCTTTGTCTGAGAAATGTCTGTTCATTTCAGATGCCCATTTTTCAATTGGGTCTTTACATTTGGGGGGGATGATTGTTTTGAATTCTTTATACATTCTAGATAAGAGCCCTTTGAGGAGCAGCTGGTAAAAATATTTTCCCACATTGTAGGTTGTCTTTTAGTTCTGTTGATGGTGCAGAAGCTTTTTAATAAGATGAGATCCCAGTTGTTGATTATTTCTGCTAGTACCCGTGCTACTTAGGATTTGTTCCTAGTCTTTTCCTATGCCAATGTCTTCAAGAGTTCTGCCTAACTTATCTTCCAGCAAGTTTAGTGTTTCTTTTTAATATTTAGATCTTTAATCCACTTGGATTTTAGTTTATAATAATCCAAAAATTCATTTGGAACCAGAAGAGACCTAGAATAGGAAAAGACATCCTAGGCAACAGAGACATGCAGCGGGTATAACAATTCCCAATTTGAAACTATACTACAAAGCCACTGTGATTAAAAACAGCATGGTACTGTCAAAGAAACAGACCTCTGAGGATCAGTGGGACAGACTGGAAGATACAAAAACAACTCCAGATGTATTCAGCTACATCTTTGACAAAGGAGCTGACCATCCTCACTGGAGGCAAGATAGTCTCTTTAATAAATGGCGTTGGAAAAACTGGATTTCAACCTGCCAAAGATTAAAACTAGACCCTTATCTTTCACCATGCACTGAAGTTCCCATTTTTGAATAGGTAAAATGCTAAGTAGTAGGAACGTGCCTGAAATGGGGTGGAAGAGCCAGAAAAAGTGCTGTTAATAAAGACTGGATTACAACTGAGCAGGACACAGGAGATGCTTGCTTGTTAATGGATCAATCCATCTTTTCTTAGTGGAAAAATGATTGAATGAGTTCAGTCTGCTTAATGCCAATGTTAATTCTCATCATTAATACTCAGTTTCATGCCATGAAATGAACATGTTGAGGTTGCGGAAATTGCTTTCACCTCAAACCGGAATTACAGAATCACTGCCTTAGGCAATTTTAAGTAGCTGGAAACAAACTGAGCTCCTCATTCAGAAGAGGAACACATTATCGAGAATAAGGAGAGTCCCTGCTAATTGATTCTTCTCTCAAATTTAAGGATAAAAAGAAATGATTACCTTTGTAACTAGGGAGAGGGAATAGCGGGGAATTTTGGCCATATCTAGAAATACTACTCAAAGGTAAAACACTTCTCCGTATCCTGGATGTTGAGCCTGCGTTACAGGCATTAGATTGTGTCCCAGCTGTGCACTGTGAATTGTTACGACAGTGAGTGCACAGAAAATGAACAGGGGGTGACCAGACTGAGTACATACTATTATTGGAGCTAGATGCGTTTGCCTACCTCCTCTAACAGTTCTACATCTCATTTCCACAGGGCCTGACAACCAGGAAGAATTTAAGGACTCTAAGTGAAGGCGTAGATTTCCCTAAGGCACTTCACAGAAGGTCCGTGAACTGCAGACATTCCTTGTCCCCGGTACAGTTTAATTATGTACTGTTCTGTGCTCTTGTGTCCCTGAGTCTTGATTCGCAAATAACATCCACCGCAATTTTACATGTTCATATTTTTGCCTTTTCAGATTTCAAGTTGGAGGTGTTTCAGGTCGTAACATGAAAATGCTGCTGATTTTGTTCCTTATAATAATGTGTTCCTGTGTTTCTATGAACCAAGATTCTGGTAAGGAAAAAAAGGAAAAGAATTATTTTCCTTGATTTTCATTGTGTGAATAGATGATAAATGATCTTGACCTACTTAAAAATTAAGATTTTTTTTTATTTTGATTTGATTGGAGTGAGAGGGGAGTATAATAGCTCCTCCCCCCACACCCCCAATATTGGGGTTGGAATCCAGAGCCTTTTCTCTGAGATATATCCCCAGCCCTTTTTAATGTCTTTTTTCTTTTCTTTTTCTTTTTCTTTTTTCTTTTTATTTTCTGAGACAGTGTCTCACTACATTGTTCAACCTGGTTTGAACTCATGATCCTCCTGCCTCAGCCTTGGAGATTGTTGAACCACAAACTTGTGCCATTGTAACCAGGGATCAATTAAAAATATTTTTAGGTTATCCTATGTTCCTTTGAGAATTCTGGGCCTTATTTCTTGTTAATGATAGAGAGATATCAAAGCTGTCATTTTGTCCTCAGTTTCACCCCATTAGGTTCCAGCCTTGAAATTTTGGAATGTTTCTTTTTCATTTGTGCCAAAAGGTTGTGCTGATTATATGTCTAGATATTGCTTCAGTTGAAGTGTTTGCTCACTGCAAGGAACACGCTTTGCCCTGGAGAGAAGGTCCCATGTATACTGGCTGCCAGTAGCTTATCAGTGGAGTTGAAGTGTGCACCTTGACCCACTGTTCATGCTCTCTACCACCTCCAACACCGCAGGTTCTTGTGCTGGTCAGTTCATGTCCAGGACCGCTTGCCTTAGCCTTTACTGCTTCCTTGAGGACTCTGACCTCAGAAGCAAGTTTGTGAAGAGATAAACAAAACTTTATCCTGCCAAAGTCATCCCTACACATCTCACTGGGTCTTAACTTTTAAAGGGAAGAATCTTTTCTTTTCAGTCATTTCATGATTCAGACATAATGAAAGACCTGATCAGAGCCTGGATCAACCACCTGTACCAAGCACATACACTTCTTTCCCACACAAGATACGGAGACATATTTCTGAGTGGACAGATTGTGGGTGGTCACAAGTTGAGACACCCTGTATGGGGTTCACTGAGCAGTCAGTCTTCTCTTGGGTTAAAGTGTTGACTTGCCCTCCCTATTCCTTGCCTGGGATGCTGCTGTCTGTATAGTCATGAAATTAATCTGATTAAAAAAATGAATTCCATCCAAAGATTATTTTATCCACTATATGCTGGTAAGACTACTGTAAAGAAAATTAAACAGCACACAGAGGCTAACAGAGTTGCAAAAAAGTTTGAAGTTATTTTAATTTGATCAGAATTTGTCTGGTAACTATTTTGGGTAGTAATAATCTCAGAGTGAAGAGGCACCATAGGTATTTTCTAGTTGAATGTACTTATTGTGAAGTAGAGAAAACTGAGGCCTAAGTACACTGAATGGCTTGACAGAGCTCACAGAGTTGGCTGAAAAAACACAGGGCTGTTATTACTTGTACATGCACACATGTATGCGTGCACACACACACACACACACACCACTTTTCTTTCTTCCCTGAACAAGAAATGATGGATCTTATGTTAAGGTACAAGATTCCCAACAATGAATGTAACTGTACTGTATCCCTAAAATGTACCAATAAACTCAATTAAGGCGCAAAAAAAAAAA